ATTGATTTTTTTCGAAGAGCTTTCATTACATATTTCTCATTGCTCTTCAACGATTGCATTTCTAGTAATCTTATAATTGAATGGATTTCTGTCCGAAAATGTTGGAGTTTTGTTCCAAGACATTAAGCGAAAATTAACTCGCACTTCCATGCATCTAGCTAGCTCGCAACCAACTGCAGTCTTAGAATTCATATATGACCAGTTATTTGCTGAACACGGAGACACTAGCTGTGGATAAGTAGGCTGTTATTGAGCACTCTTCTTGTGAAACTCGCTACCCTTTTGAATATCTGCCGTAAGATAATAATCTCAGTCAAAGCATATTTGGTGATTTTCTACCGTATCCTTCCCATTAAAGCAACTGGGGCTAAATTTAACGAATAGAATTTCTTCGTTTTTTCAAAGTGGTAACCTCAGCAGCTTATGAGGCCTGTATCTAAGCACACTATTGAGATTGAAGTTTTTTCCACTCATTATATTAACAACTAAGTCCATCATCTGCCCCTTGCACCAGTTATTCACGTTTTGCTCAAATTTCCCAAAATTGCTGAAGTATGTATTGTAATAAATTATTGTGCCGAGCATAAAGGTGCGCGCAGGCGATGTGACCATTTCTTGCAGAGAACCACCTGCGATTCTTTCAAGGCACATGTTGAATTCATTCGCTGCCACTCGCGGCGCCAGTGAGTCAATAAAGTGGTTTTATTGAGAAAAGTAAAGGTGTAACATGGTTAAGTATAACTTCACTGGTTTTATAACCTTACGAATATCAACACATGCGGGGGGGGGGCAAAAAGTCTTCGCCCGTGCCGCACACCACCAACGATTTCGAACAGTGCCGCTGTTGCTGGAAACTTTATGGTCAAATGTTCCTTAGATATCCCCCATGAACAGAAGCAAGCCCTTACTTCATGCTTTCAAAATCATCAGAATATGATGTCACCTGTCACGAGTTCAAGGAAGCGTACGGTAGTCCCTCCTGCCTGGCCTGCTACATAAATTCTTGGGACTATCTTTGACTATGTATGCAAGTTCCTTCAGATCAGCGCTCAGCTTACGTCGTGATGGCCCACGAGACTTCGTTGAGTGAGAAGTGCACCATGTTCTCGTGGAAAACCCTCTGTTGCCAGTGTAAAAGCCTTATAATGAAGTTTATGATAGATTAGATGATGCTTACGATTATCGCATTCATGGGGCATTTTATGCATGACTCAAGTATTGGTTTGAATTGGGTGAACATTACTATGCATCTACCTGTCCTCCGGAACAGTATCTCCCAAAATAATGGGACAAGCACAATCTCCCGACATAAGGCCGTCTAAATACTTAAGTGTAAACAATACAATGAACTTGACCTCGAGCGTCCTTGAGCTACTGCTGTTTCTTCACAGCCCATTTTCAACTGTTCCTTGACTAGGACAATTTCTATAGCCTCATCGAAATGGAACCTCACAAGAGCCTGAAGAAAAATATAATATTCCCCTGAAAAGAAGAGCAGCTGAGACAGCTACTTGGGGAGCTGTAACTTTTTTTGCGCTAATATGTGCCTAAAAACAATCACTGAACACAGCCATATGATAGCAGCTATTCAACGCCACCAATAATGCTGTAAGTAAATTCAAAAATGCAGAAGTTCCCGGAGTTTTTGTCTATTTTCCGACAATCTGGGCCGCTCAGGGGTCTTTCAAGACATGAAAGGTTTTCTTTTTTCAACATGGTTCATTGAGTGTTGTAGGGGCTAATGTGAGGAATACGAAGCAATGGTCCATTTTTCCTGAACGCCCCCCCCCCGGAATGTCAAAACAGCGGGGACGAGAAGGAAAAAGACAAATTTTGCAATTATTTGGAGCCCACCAAACTGCCGCCAATACGTGGCAGTGTACATCTATCTCTACGATGGCACATTTTGGCGGCAATCTGGGAGCGCCAAACTAAATTGCAAAAATCATCGGGGATCGAACTCTGGACCATTTCTTCACCACCCTTTGATATTCGAGCGTTCACCGAAGAATGGATCATGGTCTGGTCCTGCGCCTAGCCCTCCACAAACACGCCGAGAAAAACCATTTTAAAAGCGCGATACAGTGTCTGAAGACCCCACTTGCAAAAAAATCTCAATTTTTTGCTCCACGCACGTGCCGCGCTACATGTACAACATGTAAGCAGCCTTTCTGTGGAAGCGCCTCATGTATCAAATGACTGCCTAATTGTAAGTCAGAAAATGACCGCCTTAATATAGGGAGGGGTAATTAACAATTTTGATCGTGGCAGTGCTGACCAGTTGATCCGCTTCCTACGGCCAACTCATCTTGTTTGCTGTTCCTTTCTTTCGTAGCCTTTAATGCTCATATTCACCGCGCCTTTTCTGCTAAGGATGCTCCTGATTATGAGTAAATAAAAGCGCAAGCTGATGAGTACTACTGTAGTCCGTGCAAGACTAGAGTAACCTTTTGAGGAACAAACGTTATTCGGCATTCTCGCCTTCGTCGAGACGCCGTGTACAAAACGCCGCCCGCAACGCAAGTTCGATCCACCGCGAAGGACTTGCACTTCCATATCAGCCCCGAAAAACACATGAACAGAAGCAAGCCCTTACTTCATGGTTTTAAAAATCATCAGAATATGATGTCACCTGTCACGAGTTCAAGGAAGCGTACGGTAGTCCCTCCTGCCTGGCCTGCTACATAAATTCTTGGGACACTATCTTTGACTATGTATGCAAGTTCCCTTCAGATCAGCGCTCAGCTTACGTCGTGATGGCCCACGAGACTCGTTGAGTGAGAAGTGCACCATGTTCTCGTGGAAAACCCTCTGTTGCCGTCAGTGTAAAAGCCTTTTATGAAGGTTTCTGATAGATTAGGATGTGCTTTTCGATTTTATGCATTCATGCATTTTTTATGCATTTATGCTCAGGTATTGGGTTTTGAATAAGAGTGAAATTACCTCTGAATTTGTACATTTACCTCTGATACAGTATCTCACGAAAAATAGGGTGACAAGCACAATCCGACATATGGGCCGTCTAAATACGTTAAGGGTGTAAAAATACAGAACTTGACCCTCACGTCCTTTGAGTACTGGCTGTTTCTCAACAGGCCCCATTTTTAAACTTGTTCCTTGACTTAAGACAATTTTTTGTTTAGCCTCATCGAAATGGAACCTCACAGCCTGAAGAAAAATATAATATTTCCTTGAAAAAAAAGCGCAGCTGCGATTAGACAGCTTCTTGAAGCTGAATTTTTCGTCTCCATACGTGCCTAAAACAATCACAATGACAAACAAATATAATACGCCGGCTATTCAAAAAGCTAACAAGTTGCTGTCGAGATATCAAAAATGCAGGAAGTTCCCTTTGTGCGAGAATTTCTTACTGTCATTTTCCATGGAAATCTGCGTCACAAGGGGGTCTTTCAGGACAGGAAGGGTTTTCTTTAGCATGGTTCACTGAGTGTTGTAGAGGGCTAATGTGAGAAATACAAAACAATGGTCCAATTTTTCCTGAACGCCCCCCCCCCCGGAATGTCAATACAGTGGGGACGAAATGGTCCAAAGTTCGATCCTCCGTGATGCCAAATTTTTGCAATTTATGTTGGCGCCACCAAACTTCCTCCAAATACGGGAATGACCTCTATTGTATTCTCTACGATGGCACATTTTGGCGGCAATCTGGGAGCGCCAAACTAAATTGCAAAAATTTCATCGGGGATCGAACTCTGGACCATTTCTTCACCACCCTCTTGATATTTCTGGAGGCGTTCAAGAAGAATGGATCATGGTTCTGTGTTCCTCGCATGAGCCCCCACAACACGCAGAAAACGGGCACTATCGAAAAATGCCACGAAATGGTCTGCCAATGATCTTGAAGGCAAAATCCATTGTCAAAAAAATTTCCCCAGTTTATGCTACCACCCGCACGGCCATCATGAGTCAAAACCCTGCGTTGCGCAGTATCGCAAAAGCGCCAACAGTTGCGCAGATCCTTCAAAACGCACGCTGTTTTAAAAACCAATAAAAAATGCGAGACGGCAGACGACTCCGAGCATGCGAGTGTAAATGTTCGCATAATCCCACGAGAAACAGCGTTTAATCGAGCAGAAAACTGCGAAACGTGCACCGTTGAAAACTACGCACCAAGCAGGATTGATCACGCCTGCCAGCCACACTAAACAACTTGTAAAGACAGCCTTTCTCTGGAGAAGCACCACGTCTCAAATGACTACCTTAGCAGAAATTCTATACACAGGATTATCATGACTATGAGGGAGGCGGTAAGGTGTCTTGAAGGGGTCGTATGTGAGAGACCCCTCCAAAGCTGATGAGAAGTCGTGTCGAGGCCGCCTTGGATAGGGAGAGGGGTAATTAACAATTTTGATTACGCGCAGCGGACAGTTGACCCAGCTTCCTGGCCGACTCATCTTTGCTTTCGTTTACATAATCTTCGCTTCGAGCCTTAATGCTTCATAAATTTAAAACCGACTGATCTTTTCCTCTCCGCGCTAGGATTGTCTTCCAGATAATTGAGTAATAGCGAAGGCGCAACCAGATGAACTACTATGACTGTAGCCGTGCCAGTTTAGGTAGCATAAGGTAAAGAGTCGTTATTAAGGAACAAATTCGCTTAATCCGCTCTCGTCAGCAACCTTGAAAACGCCACCCGCCACGCGAGGTCGACGCCCGGAAGACTTAGCTTGTACATTCGTTAAAATAAGTATACACGGCTCCTGAAACACGAATTGATATACACACCACAACCCAGCCCCCCCGCCCACACACCCCACAACATATACATGCTTGCCACCCCTGATAAGCAGGAGACAAAAATAAACGAGATGTGTAAAGAAATTGCATCCTAAGTTCATTTTAAAATACCAATGGAGCTTCTGTTTGAGATCCTCGTTTTAGCGAAGGCAGTAAAAAACTTGCAAAGATGTATGAATACAATAGAGCGAGCTATTTTTGACCCGTTTCACCAGCTGAAGACAATACTGTTGTGATTTCAGATGAGCGGCAATCGGCTAAAGCTGCTGAATCTCATCATCTGCACACGTTCATCTGGTGCTGCGGTCACATTCCTCTATATCTCTGTGAAAATACTTTATACGGTTAATATTGTCGGCCAGATATTCCTTCTTAATACTTTCCTCGGCAATCGAAGCAAGTGGTATGGATTGCAGGTGAGATTGATATTGATATCATATTGATATTGATATTATATTATCATATCATATTGATATAATATATTATATTGATATCATTATTGATGAATGTTGCAACAGCCATTGAGAAATATTGAATTGAACGTTGATACGGTCAATGTTCCATCCGCCTCTAACCATGATTCTCTTCTCCCTAGCGTTAGTTCGTTAATACCGCGCTGTCGTAGGGTCCGCTGTCTTTGTCAGCCGTACTTTCGACTTTTATACATGGTTTGTGTGACTGAGTGTTCATCAGCCGGCCTGTGAACCTGGGTTTGACGCTGGTACTAGCAACCATTCTTTCAACTTGCAAGGCATGGTTAACCTCAGCAGGGATCGAACTCGTGGGACATGAGTTTACACTCTTAACCACTCGGCTATCAATGCCTCCCGCCTCTGATCATGATCGCATGTGGATACCACTCTGAATCGTGCGACAATCGATCCAGTGATGTTCTACGCATATCACGTGGTCAGACGAGGTACGATCGAGGGCTTCTCGACGAGGGGTCGGGTTTTCCTCGGTGGGAAAGGAGAGCCAAATTTTTGATTTGTGGGGTCGTGACAGTGTGACATGTGGAAAAGGAAAAGCGGGAAAATTAGAATCTGATTAATTCCTTTCTGAGATCACATTCATTTAGAAAAATAGCGGCGTTCTGAATACGAATTGGCCTATGTGGTGGTGGTCAGCCAAGGTACAAGTCACTGGCTTTATCCCCAAACACAAGTTTACCAAGGTACTGACCATGAGATGTCGGATTAGTTTGCCTGAACGGCGCATAGTCAAGGATCTCATCCTCAGATCACGCACGTGAAAGCAACACCACTTGCCACAACACCATTTCCCCAATGGCGGCTTAAAGGCAAAGTTCGGGCTCAGACCCACTTAATAAGCCCTTAAGTGGCTAGAAGTGCTGGGACGCAACTGCAGGGACGCGCCACTTCCCGCATCGAAAAGCGTCACTAAGACGCTAGGCGCTAAGAACTTTGACACGCTCCACCTGTTGCGACACGCTCCGCCCACCGCTCGATATCTTGTCTGCGTCGCTATTGATCTGCTATGCTCTCTCTACTTCTCTACGCTCTCCGCGCTCACATTATCTCTCATCTCCCTGCCGGCCTTTTGAACTTCTCCGCAGCGTAGAGCAAAAGGCTCGTATTTCCTGTGTATTTCACGATTTTTTTCCTTTTTTCTCCACTGGCGGTCCACTTCCACCCCTACTTCACATTTGAGTAGAATTCCCCATCAATTTAATCCTGAATCTTGCCTTTAAACGTAATTCTTGAAACTACATGCTCTCAACCCCTACTCCGTAGCAATTCTTCAAGGAATTCTGATTGGTCGGAGTTGGAGTGTGTCCAATTGTACCAGACCCAACGGTACTATTGATATCATCGACCAAAGGATGGATCGTATTGATAATCGGGGAGGGGAAGTATAGAGACCTCCATCAAGAGAGTTCGCAACACTTCGTGAAAGCAACGCTCGCCGTGCTACTTGTGGTCGGTCATTCGACCTTTATTTCAGTAGATCAATGGAGGATTTACGTAAGGAGTGAAGAAGAGGAAATAACTTAGTGGAAGGCAAGCGGACCCCCTAAGCGTGCGGGGCTATGTACGTTTGGTGACGAAGGGTGATGTACCCTGCGGCCTAGCAGGGCCGTGACGCTCGCGCCGCTGCACGCCCAACGATGGCTGACCCCTCGCTGTCCGCCTCTAACGGTTCTAGCAGAAAGAACAATAGCGACGATTAAAGGCAAGATTCGGGATAAAATACGTGTCTAAAAGCGTTCAGTCATAATACTAGAGGTGGGAGGTGGTCTATAAAAGAAGAAGAAAGCAAACAAAATCACAGATTACGCCCCGTACAGGAACAGCCACAACAAAATCGCTAGCCCTAATTTCAGCAGCATTACCACCTGAATAATAGAAACCGCGCGTCTCGCCGAGAATACCCTCCTCAGCACAGACAGACCTGAAGCTAATTTGTCACAGTTGCCCATTGACACCAGGATCGGCGGTGAAGCGCGTGCCTCAACTGCCCCCGCGCCTTTCCAAGCAGCATGGCAAACAGGCGCGCGGTGGTTTAGCGCAAAGTGTGAGTTGCAGAACGGCACTGAAGCCCAGCTTTGGCCTAATATGTCAGCCCCCTCTTCAAGCGTCAAAGGGTGAGACACAACATCACGGTTGTCACGCACTGCAACTACCCGGATCTGAAAGGGCCGCCGCGCTAAATCGGCGCGTGACACCTTTAAGTTCACACCATAGCATGGCTCGATGCGCAAATCAACTGCAAGGAAAGGGTGCCAATAGATCAATGCCGTCCCTGCTGCTTCTTATACCTCAACCCACCAGCACTAGATCCATTCTTTGGCAATCCGAGGATAGATGTCTTTTCTAACTCTAACCTTGAATCTTCTGGCATGCTTGAAGCTAACAAGCGACTCTGGGATTAGAAAGCTTGGCCGACGTAGTGGGTTCGATTGTTTGAATTGCAGTGCGAAAAGCATCATCGCTCTCTTGCAGTTTCATCTTATAGTGGATCGAAAAAAATTAGAATGTGCATATTAGACAGTAAAGGTCTATTTTCGCCCTCTATTGCATGTACCACTCAGTGGCAATTAGGGCGGACGGACCCTTGTACTTTGAGTTCCACAGAAAAGTTTTTTAGGGGGGGGGTTTCTTACACTGTTGATGTCCGACCCCAATGAATCATTTAGAAAAATATCGTATTTTTCGCTTTAAAAGTTCATTTTCTACCAGCATCTACGTTAACATAGTTGGAGCAGGTGCATAAGGGAATATTTGTGAATTAAAATGCATTTGAATGTATTACCCCTCAGATTAGCTTACGTTGCAATTCATAGCTGATGATACCTGATTATAGCATACACTAATTCGAGTACCCTCCACACCTTTATAGCAGAGATCAAATGGAACGCTCCCAACCGGCGAACAGATCTACTAATTGCATATGCCACTACCTTGTGCGGTGGCCGTCACCTTGGCCGTAACTAACTCCAAGTGAATCTGTTTACCGATAGGCGCCAGAGTCAACCCTAAACCGCGTTGCTCATTCGAACCACGCACGTCAGAGCAGAACTCCTAACAAACGCAGCAGCTGTCCTGGAAGAGACTAAGACAGACGGCTCAGGAAGATCATGCGAGTGTGCAACTGTTCCGCGCGAGAGAACGTGTGCTAAATCGGGCGAAACTGCGCCAACGTTAGACCGATAGAAAAACGCGCAACGCAGGGTTGACTCTGTTAGGAGCCTTCTATTTGATCTTCTCTTTACGATTTAGGATCCCAATCGGTTGCTAGTGATTATTAGTGAGGGAGCAACGTGTAAGGTTCATCTCATTTTCAACTTCACAGACCACAAAAACGACGTTTTTGACACATCTTCACGTCCCATTCTTAAAAGCCCCAGTTTTGTGAATTTTTGGTGTTGTGCATTTGGTTCGTTCCATCGCTCATTGTGCCGACGCTGGAATCTCCTCCTCGATCTGAAATATGGCTATTGAACACTCATGCTGGGGTGTACTGAATGATATTAAGGACATTAAGCCCTCAGGCATTCATGAATGCAAAATGATAGAATGCAAATCGTCAGATGATATTTTTTTCGATGCGCCGCACAATTTTCTTTTGTTCTGGATTGTAGAGTATTTATTTGAGACCTCGTTCGACCCTGGCTGTCCAAGGTCTGAATGAGCATCTTTTTGTCCTGGATGAAGCTGATGCTAATAAATCAAGGCTTAGCATAGCCTTGACCATGAGTGGAGTTTGATTCCAAAAAGATGATGTGTTAAGTCCAAGCAACTGCTTCCGGTACTCCCACAACTCGTTGATTCTGAAGCCACTATGACTGACTCGTATCCGATGTCTTTCCTCTAAAACTCTTATCAACGGCAGAGTTCCGCGGAAAACGGCGGTCTTTCCCAAACCAACTGGGACACGACAATCCTATCGTAATTCTTTAAGATTTAATCCATTCTACTTTTTGTTTGGTAGCGCTTCTCTGCTGATTTCTTTATTTCATTGATTTTTTGCTCGGAAAGGGAGCAAGTGAATTACCGAATAAGCTCTTGTGGTGAATGTCTTTCATTAAGGTGCTCAACGATCTGATGAATGGACGAGAATGGGAAGAATCGGGACATTTTCCGAGAGTGACACTTTGCGACTTCGAAGTCAAAGTACGTTTCACAGAATAAATTATTAAGGATTGTCCCACAACTCGTATTCATCGTACTTTACTTCACAGTTCTCACAAGTGCAGTTTTGGTGAACTTGTGCAGCTGTGAGCTAACATGAATAAGTTTTTCACTCAGCACATTTGTTTGAAATTGTTCTTCAAAATAAGGTTCGAAGCGGACCGGATGCTCAGCAAATATTCCTCTTATATTATGTGTTATTAGGTTTTACAGGTTCCATCGCCTTCTTCGGATACAATTTTAACTTGTTTTTCTTTGACATTGTTATCACCTCAGTTTATGTTTTAAAATAGTGTCACTACAGTAATCCTGAATCACTGATATTCTAGGATGGAATAACATATTCAGCAGCAGTGAGTGTGGTGCTCCCTACCATAGAGTCGCATTGACTGCTATCTATCCTTTGGGTCAAACTAATTGGGAATTAGACTAAACACGTTAGCAGTTGATTAGGGTATAGTTCGCTTTGAATAGGATAGCGGTGCTGCAAGTGTTCGCCACTATGATCAGCGTGCTTAATGACATTTAGCATTAGAAACTGAATAAGAAAAGAAATATGATTGGTAAAATGAGAAGCGATAAAACCGCTGAGACCAAAAAAATTTAAGTTTCAAAATTTTCCTATCTCATTTCATAAATGCAATTGAAGTAATATATAACCTTTTAAAGGGTTTGCAATTGCGCTGTCTTAAACCGTTCAGTTTTTACTTCATAAGAAAAGGAGATTTGATGATTTGGAGAAAAATTGGTAATTTTTTGAAAGTAGAGTTCTCTGCGAGTACAACGTTATCTATGTCCATGCCAAACAATCTAAGTACATACCTCCAGAGGATTAAAGCATTTGCCGTTGATCAATCCCTTTTTGGGATGCGGCACGCATTCTACTTCCATTTGTACATTCGTAGTGGCGTTTGAATGCGATGTGGCCTATACAATGACTTGCGGGGGCCAGTGTTTTTATCCTCCCAGACAAGTCTGGTACCAATTAACCGACCCCGGAGGGATGGAAGGCTTGGTTGGCCCGGGCGACTCACGACCCAGGATTTGATCCCCGGACCGCTCGCGTGGTAAGCGTGCCACTTGCCACTACACCACTTCCGCCCGTACCTCTATTTAGGGAGTAAAATTTCACGTTGCCAGACTTCCATCCTCCGAGCGAGACAGAGTGCGCGGCGTGTTAGCTCCCCACTGCCTACCTTCTCTTTCAAGGTGGATGACATCCTATGCATCAGTGGTGGGCGTAAATATACGTAAATAGGCATAAATAGCGGGTACAAGGGGGTCATACTAACATCCAGCGAAAATCGTTCAGCACCTTGACGTGGGTGTAGCACATCCACATGCTGAGTGGTATGGGTACGTCTCTTCATACTTAGACCTTGTAGCACACCAAGGTAGCCAATGGGTGCTCCACACCTTGAGGGCATGCTTGTATGGCCAAATGATAGCGACGAAATATTTTAAATACAACCCCCGTCCAGCCCATCTGGATATGCTTCCACACAACCCTTAGCTTGTTGCTTCACTTCCTAAAATCGTGTCGGCAAAGGGGTATGGGCACGTATCTTGCAAATCGGGAACGGTTACAAAGACCGTTGGAAATGCTACTCATTTGCTATCACACCAGCCGAAAAAATTCTCACAGGCTCTTCTCTTCAGCACGGTCGCACGGCCCATAAACTGGCAAATTGTGGTCCCATGTACTAGAGGAGTCTTTGGTGAACGTTTAGGCTCAGATCTCGCTTCCACCATTTGAATCACTTACCAGAAAAATCGGTCATCAGTAGCCGTATCTCCTTTCTTTCTCTTGAAAAAACCATTCAATAACCCGATCAGCACTCTAACACAAGGTGACATTCTGTCTTGGCGGTGGAATCCCTGCCCTCTAAAACATGACCCATTATCGAACTGGTGTGATTCTAGCAACCAATACGGGATGGGCCTATAGTAAAGGATAAAGGAGAAGATCTTGTAGAAACGCTTAGGTTAAGGGCTCACTCACCTTCCTAATCGGCTGTGCTAAGGCAATGAGAGACTGAGCGCGGAGAGGAGAGTATGAGGCGAGAGAGCGCAACAGATGAGAGGGCGCCAGACAACAGCCTGCTGCGGACGGGAACATTGCAGCTGCTGCAGCTTACTTTGCAAGGCCCTAGCGCCTTGTCAGGCGATTTCCATGCACGGAAGTGCCTATCTGTAATTGTCCTCCAATCGTCTATCACACACCGAAGGGAATCATTCCCATGCTTTCTGCCTAGGTTGTGCCTTTAGCTATTAATCAGATTTTGACAGCGCGTTTCTGAATGTTGGCTTTCACGAAGGAAAAACATTAGGAAAAAACCTCGGTTATCCCAAGTTCCGCCGAAAATAGGTAGAATCCGTTTCTTTCGACAACGAAATCGGTGTTCCTTTTTTAGAAGATGTGTTATCAAAAACTCTTGTATTTCAGGTACTGGGCAATGTTCATCGCCATACTGTCCAATGCGTGCTGATGATCAACATGTTCAATGAGAAGATTTTTCTATTTCTATGGTGAATTTAGCTGTCAAATTGGAACTTCTGTCCTCAAAATTGAGCGTTTCAGTTTCAAGCGCGGAGGTTTTTTTGGGGTTTGAGAGCTTTGGCAGGCTTTGATAAGCTGTCTCTTCCAATTAGAATTTTTGGCAGAAGTCTCCATGTACGGCTTCGGATGAACCTTGGCATGATGGCGTTTTTGGCAGAAATGCTATATTGATACCATTACCTACGCATTGGGTCTAGAATCATCAGTTTTTCTCTTGTACTCTTATTTGACTGTTTCTGCAGATAAGAATGCAGATGATGCTTGCCAATACATCGTTGCTGCCATCCTTCAGTCTTTCTTAGAGGCTTGCACGCATCCAATTTATTAGAGTAGCTGCTTTCAGCTCGTAATTTTCAAGAACGCTGAGAAAAGTTCGAAACGGAAATGTCAAACGAATTATGTGTTCCCCTGCGGAACAGCAACGCCACCATTCATCGTTTCTGAATTGCTCTTTTTCTGCTGCTTTTCTATAGGTATAAAGGAGGAAATTTGCTGGCCTAGTCACATACGGGATTTGCTCGATTTGCTCGTACTAATAAGACCTGCCATAGAAGAAGGCTGTATACGTATTCCCTGTTTCATCTTATGTGAAAACTAGAAACCAACGGGCAGGAAGCCATTTTGGTGAGATGATTTTACTTCCGATTTTCTCTTCGTATCTTCCCTCGCGGTCGTGTGAACGGCGGCCAGAGAAGCGCCCTTGAAATAAAATAGGGCGAAATAAGGAGTGCGCAGAGCGTCCGAGTGGCGAATATTGACGGGACTTTTTGATTCGAAAAGAACTTTTGGTTTCTAAATCGAATGGAATGCCTGAGGAATGTTTCCAAGTGCACGCAAAAGTGAAAAGGGAAATTCACTTGGCGCTGAACGCATAAAGTACGCCTAGCCAAATGATGTGGAGCGTACGCTTATTCGTGCCCAATAAGGATTATAGGTTTGAAGCTCGTCGGTACAGAAACGACGCTTGTCAGGCTAGCATGTGAAGGACACGAGCAGTAACATGTTCACTTATGAATAGTGTGCTTCACTTCTGCACTTAGCCTACGCTAAACGTTAAACTACCGGCGCGACCTCTTGGGAGTATTCCAGCCGGTGAGATGCGCCGTGCATCTGCTATCCATAGTAGATACGCAAGTTTAATGAGTGGAGCCTAATACAGCTACTAATCATGCTCCTCGCTCTGCTTTCCACACTTCGATCCCGGGGTTTGACGTGAAGAGGGGCTTGAAGAAGTGCAAAGAACAATAGGATCTCATTCCTCGTCTGATCCTGCCGCTCTTCTTTCATGTGCAGCTAATTTGGTTTGGTGCAAGAAGTCGTACTTGTTCCCAATCGTTCTGGTCATCATTTACGGATGGAGTGGTTTCCTGATCTTCCTTGTAGATAATAATTCAATAAGAAAGAACGTCTGCCCGTAGGCATCGATTGCCACGTTGCTGGACGTGTGGCCGTTAAAGGCAGGGTGTCGGCGCGCAATTCATGCGGGTTTACTCAAGGGAATTCCTCTGTAGAGAAAATACTTTTGAACGCTACTCCGCTTTCACTTCACCTCTTTATTGGTTCTGTATCTTGAGCATCTGCCTGAGTACGAAAATCCAACATAAAACGAAAAATGCGGTAAGAATCAGAAGTAATTACTTATTCTTATTGGGAAAACCTCGAGATGTTTCAGGTTCTGGTACTTTTTGCTTGCCGGCGCAACTGTATGCTCGTTATTCTACTGGATTTATATATCTGTAGTCCCAAGCAGGTTTGTTGCTCAAGCATAGTCCGACAATGAGTACTGGTGATAGAAGTTTTTGGCTGATATAAATGCCAAGTGCAGGAAAAGTAAGAATGACCAGATCTAGTCGTCGCGGAGCAAAATCCTACAAATGACCCCTGAAATAAACTACAAAAGCTACTGCGATCGCAATGATCGACAACTAAAACCATTCTTGATAAGCAAGCAGAGATTTGTGTGTAGATGAATGAGTCTACTCACTCCATTACTTGGTTAGATAATTTTGCCTTATACGCCTTTTGCTACATGAATTAAGTCAGAGCGAGCCAAGTGTAGAGAAAGTCTGAAGTACGATCATTCAGGCGGGATTAATATAGCGTTCACCCCCTTCCCGCGGTTTGTCTTTAGACCCCCAGCTAGGGTTTGCAACTCATATTTATTTCCAGATACCGCTATCATTCTTTTCGCCTGGTCTCATTTATGACTTCACCTAAAAGACCAGCTGCTGAGGGAGAGGAAGCGATTTTATATACTAGCTACAATTAAAACAAAAAATGTTTGAAGCCTAATTAAGATTCTCAGAATTTCATAGAAAAGTTTCGAAAACTCTCATTAAAATTGCTTACTTCACATTCATCCGTTATAACTTCTGCCCGCTTTCCTGCTTTCAAAATGATGCCTATTCCACTCAGCACGAACAGCCTCCTCACCTCCCCCTTCCCTCCCTAGTCGATTAGCAAAGTTTGATCAACGTATCTGCAGAACTGAACTTAGACAGCTTGCTACGCCTTAAGAATTTTTCCGGGATCTGAGTAGTTTCCATAAGGATGGGTCATCAAGGGATGATGCCAGTGCTCATTTGAGGCTTCTGCTTATGACCAGCTGTCTGAGGGAAGCAACTTTTTTATACCATATTATGAGTAAGCAGAGGAGAGGAGTGGTCAGTTTTCTGTTCCTATTGTCTCACTTAGAAAAAATTTCCACCAACTGTCCACCAACTTAACTCTTTCGGAACTCCTTTCCAATAATGAAATAATGAAATCGCCTGACAATAATCAATCTGTATTTTAAGGCAATTGAATTTCGTCGGCAAATACCTCACCGGCATTGAAGGTTACAAGATGGTCGACTCGCAATCGCTGCGGCGATTTGTTTTCCATTTCCTGCGACAGGTACTATACATACACATGTAATTAATAATTTCCCATACATTTGCTATGGAGTGATATGGCAAATGTCTTTGAGCAGCACTCTATCGTCTTTCAAGTACCAAGCTATGCCGAAAAACTTGAGCTTCACTGTAAGTGACTAATCCTCACTCGGTTCCTAATAACGCCTACAAATTGGCCGACATGGCAGACTTCCCCATCAGGGTCACCCACCCGACTGACCGAGTTGAACAAGGAGACCCTTATTTTGTGATTGTGGAAAGGTGGATCGTGTTTCTGAAGGAAATAAAAAGAGAAAATTGGCGGATAAGGATTGTGTCGTCCAGGCTGATGCTGTCCACAGGGTATGCAGAAAATGCCTTAGATTCTACAAAATCCACATGTTTCCAGTAATTTGAAAAGTGGTAGCTCAGAATATTATGAGTTCAGGAACTTAGGGCGGTATAGCCGTAATGCTTTCGACGTTAGGGCGCTGGCACTGGGGCGCGCAATGTGTACTAAAATTAGTAATCAGCAATTAGTAATTACTAATTAGTACTCGAATTTTCGTATAGGAATTCCTCGACCACGGCTTTTGTACGAGACTGCATCGTGCGAGAGTACTGCCGAGAGTGAACGTACGCGCGGAGAGCACAGACGGCTCGCGCATGGCGAGTGTGAATGTCCGCGCGGAGAGCGTAACTGATCAGGCGAAAATCCTCGACAAGCCGTTGAGGAATCCTTGACCGATATTCACCGAAGTCACGTGTCATCGAATTCCACTCCTACTCCTCGTTTTCTCTGCGCTTTAGCAAGGAGAGAATGCACCGAGCAAAATCGTCGATTGCACCAAGCGCTATTAATGTAGAAGGTGCTGGATGGCGCGCATATTGGATTGACCTCGCTACGCCGATGATGCAGCACGTAGGGTTCTCCTTCCCTGACGTGCAATCACAGCGTTCGGCTGCGCAAGCATGGAGGCGAGTGCTGCGGCGCTGCTTCATTTTTGGGTCGCTGCCCTGTGGAACCAGGGTGGCCCCGTAGGCTGGGTTTCTTCCCATCCTATCGATAGCGTTGTGGTGTGGAAACTTGGGACTGTGCCCCGGCGTCAACGTGGAATAAGGGATACCATCCTGTTTTCCTAAATTATAAGATTGTTGCTAGGTCTAGTTTGCTAGTGGATAAGTAGAATTTTCGCAAATGCAGAACAGCGACACTTATTCGCTCGTAACAGTATTTTCTATTTGAAGGACGGCGTGTTTCTGTTACGAATGGTGGCAACGCATGCTGGTGAACTACCGTGTTATGAACTCGCAAAAACGTTGTGGAACAACTACTGTGATAACAAAGAGGGCAAGATGCATGACGTCTAATCAGTAATCAACCCTATCACATACGTATCATCATCTATCATCATTCGTGCAATCAACAAAGCGCGTCAATTCTATTAACCAGATATCTATGACTATATATGTATAATTCAGCATTCGCTGAATACTCTTTCGTATCGGGACCAATGCAGCAATAATGAATTTGCTTTAGATGTTACGTGTCATATTTTCCAATATATTATAATATGGATGGTAGCATCTATCTCATCGCCTCCCAACCCTCATTCCTCAATGCGATATTATATATGTATATGTATAGTCCTGAAACACGTCTTTCTGTACGCAAATGCACTAAATGGACGCGATGCCGTCGCTCTAGCTCTCTGCGTTCGTCGCTCGGCGATTCCTTGAATCGTCTCAACGCCCGAGTAGCACGAGCCGCTGCATGCCTTCACTTCACTTACGTCAATCTCTTATGAGAACCATGCACCGATCGTTTAGGATTCAAGGTTTATGTATTAACGTCACTTTCGATTGCTGTATGAACAATAGAAGTGGCTCCCATCCTTTCCGGTGTACTGTAGACGTGCTATTTCCCGGGTCTTATCTGGTCAACAGCACTCGACGTGCTCTACATGATCTGTGCAGGCAGGTGGTCGCTACATGTGTGCTGATGTGTAGTAGCCATAAATTAGGCCGTGCTTGTAGTTCACGAATGTTGGGCTTGCACTGCACTCAGACTAACTGTGCATCGTCCGATCGAGCAATCAATTACAAATGCAATCTACTGCCATCCGTTCTGAACGCAGTCGTTTCAACCGCTCCGCTTTCGCTCGCTCAATGTCCACGTATTGCGGTCATCCTTTTATGTAAGTTAACCTGACGGCACTATTTTGCTCTCTTTGCTCTAATCGATAATTTAGGCGTTCTCTGAACCCATTTTTTCCGAAATTTGAGCACTTTGATTTCTGAATTACGGCTCCCATGATTGAATCTCAGAGTGAAACAAAGGAAGTCCTTGCTTTCCTCCCTATCAAGGATTAATGTTCACTTTCTATAGTTAACTGCACATGCTCCTCCTGCCGCGATTCTAACATGGTGCTGAAGATTCGGATAAAGCACGTCTAAAATAAGCCGGATTTCTAGACTCGTACTTCTAGTCAAGTGTGCCTGTTACGAATCTCCATAATCCTTTTCACTGCCGACTGCAGATCCTTCTTTCCCTCGTCCTCAATGTTATTTTTGTCTGTGTGTAATTCTCAGCACGTCAATGACTGCGTTTCCATTAGCCGAACCGTTCACTAGATATCTGATGCTGTATGGTGATTACTGCACACTTCCACGGATTTGTTCCTCATCACTCATTATATACGTCGCTTAATGACGTAGGAAAATTTACTTAATCTTTGAAAGAAAGAGCTTACAGGATTTTTCGCCAGAAAAATCTTGCTCTTGAGTTTCGTCTCCTTTCTTGTTGCAATTTTTTTGATACTTAGCTCACACTCATTTCGTCTCTATTACAAGATTATTTTGGAATAAATTATCGATCTATGACTTGAACTTGTTGGTTTCTTCAGTGAATGCTGTGGCCGATTACACTGGAAAATTGAAGAGCATCAAGGTAGGGTTTCGTGTTAGCTTGAACAAGGTCGGCAAAATGTAGTATGGAAAGGGGATATTTTCCCGTTGAGGTAGGGACCATGGTGAACAACGGTCGAACATCCCTCGACCATGGCTCTGTACTGTGCGAGAGTAGTGCCGAGAGTGAACGTACGCGCGGAGAGCACAGACGGCTCGCGCATGGCGAGTGTGAATGTCCGCGCGAGAGAACGTAACTGATCGGCGAAAATCCTCGACGTGCCGTTGAGGAATCCTCGACCGATATTCACCCTAGTAGAAACACAAAGTTTTAGCCATTATTATAAACGCGCAAAGGGCGGGCTCTACCGGTCACTAATCGAAGTTAGTCCTCCTTTGAACATCTTTCCTCCATAAAAGTGCTATTCTCCAGCTCACATATGTGTGACTCATTCTGCGAAATGGTGCGCTCTTCTAATAACACATTCGTTGTGGAACATACGACTTCAATGCACACAGTTCGTGTTACCTATTCAAGTGCCGAATATAACGCTACATGCTGACGACGCACCACAGGTGCCCCTACAAATGCGATCTGCGCTTGAATCGAGCATGCTGTGCTTGTAGTAGGAAAGAACTTCAGGAAGGTATATAGGTTGTAAGAAAAGTCTTTGCGGTTTCCGAAATTTATCGTTTCACCGGCTCTTTGAAAGAAACAAAACACGGAAGCAAGGTTATCACCACTACACTCCATCCCACTGTTCGGGCTGACTTCAACTGCCTCCACCGAACTGCCCTGAGTTTGCCTCGAATAAATTGATCAACCAGCGATCTGTCATCTTCATCTTCGAACGTTTTCTCTTGTATAGTATTCGATAGCGAAGGAAAAAGGTGGTAGTCTGTTGGACCAGTATCCTGGCTGTACGGTGAGTGGCTTCCACTTCCCATCCAGAGTTGAGTTGCTTTCGTCAGATCACTGTCGTAGGGTGCACGAACATTGTCGCGCTGGAATCGGGACATGCCGCAATCCACTCTTCTCTGCAATCTCGCTCGCCATTCTGTGTAGCTTCTGATCGCAGCAGCTCGCAATGAATAATGCCGTAGCAGTCTCACTAAAAACTGATAATAACCTTCAGAGGACGAATACCAGCCTTCTGTTGCAACTCAGGCTGGTCACCCTTGTCAACCCAGTGTTAGGCGGGGCCTTGATGTTGACCTACAGACAGCACTTCTCATCCTCTGTGACGATGGACTCCAGCCAACCATCCGTGCACCTGTACGAGAGCCATTCCTCAGCCAATTTTTCACCTTGCAGACGATCGCGTTCGGTCAAGTCACGGGGTACGCATTGTGCTAGGCTTGTGCACCTTCTCCGAATGATGTAGGTGATCGGCGATGATGCTAAAGGATACACCTGAGACTCATGCAAGTTCACGCGCAGTTTGCCTTGGGTCTGCCCACACCAGCTTGCGCAAACGATCATTGTCTACTTCGAATGCACGTCCCGATCAGGCGGAACTTCAAGCTTGAGTCTCCCTCACAGAAGCGTTTAGACCAACTTTTGCAGTGCATTCGGATACCTTACGCTCTCCACATCAGCATTATGCGAGCGACGTCTGGATTAGGCTGCTGATTCGCCAAATATCAACCCGTATAGTAAAAGGTCATGAAAGTACTGTTGTGAAAGTTGCATATTGCAGGAAGTTGATAAGAAAGAGTTAACGGTTGATAATGGTACTAAAGTTTGCACATATACAGTAGCGGTCAAAAGTCTTCGCCGAAATTGTTTTTCGACTGTAACTTTTTTTCCGCTGAATCAAATCAATTCAAATTTTAATATGTTTTAGAGATATTCCTACTTCACTTAAACGGCATATTTGTTTCGGATTGAGAAAGAGTTAAGAATGGAAAAAATCATTTCACTAGAAATTCTCGCGTATGAGCAAATTCCAAGTAGGTTTCAAATTACTCTAGCAAGCTTACAATTCAACAAAACAATCTTACGCATGATGAATAACACTGGGCAGGTCCAATACTTTGTTAATGATCTTCTGGGTTCGCTGAAATACTAACAAGGCCTAAGTAAGGAATCAGTCATTGAATGCACTGTCTACTAGGGCAGCTTCCTCCACTTCTCTTGAAATTTGACGAGTTTCTCGCCCATATTCCCGGCTCTTATTTCCACCAAAGGTATCCCTACTCTTTCCCATAATGTTTCGATGGCGCTCGGGACATTGGTGTGAATTGTTCCCTTCGTTGAAAGCGCGCCATGCTGGCGAAGCCACTCCTTCACAGTGAAGGTGCGATGCTTTTGGTCGCACTAATGCTAGAAGGCGAGCTCAGTCGCGGGCAACTGTCATACATGTGGATAAGAGCTCCTTCTAGAACCCAACTGTATAGGCTGCCTTCACATGATTGCGAATACTGCGAAGTTAGTCGGCGGTGAAATGGTCGGGGGCGAAATGGCTTACGCACACCTAAAGTGGGGATCCCCATAGGGCTACAACGTCCTGCGGACCAACGAGAGTGTATTCAAGATGTTTACCGGCGACTGAAATAGGAATGTGTGCGGTCCTGAGGAAAACGTTTCGATCCAAGGAATTAACTGCCGTATGTAAAACTTGGCGGAGGCTCGCGTGTGGTAGTCCGTAAAAGAAGTTTTACAACTGCACAGGATTAGAGAAGTGGTGAATGCCGACGTATCAGATAGATTCTGGAAGGAGTTTCGTATTCCGCTCGTATGAAACTGTACGTGACTGAGTTCGCCTTCTAGCTATAGAGCGACCAAAAGCATCGCACCTTCACTGTGAAGGATTGGTTTCGACAGCATGGCGCGCTTTCAACGAAGGGAACAATTCACACCAATGACCCGAGCGCCATCGAAACATTATGGGAGAAACTAGGGATACCTTTGGTAGAAATAAGAGCCGGAAATATGGGCGAGAAACTCGTCAAAGTTCAAGAGAAGTGGAGGAAGCTGCCCTTGTAGACACTGCATTCAATGACTGATTCCTTACTTAGGCCTTGTTAGTATTTCAGCGTACCCAGAAGATCATTAACAAAGTATTGGACCTGCCCAGTGTTATTCATCATGCGTAAGATTGTTTTGTTGAATTGTAAGCTTGCTAGAGTAATTTGAAACCTACTTGGAATTTGCTCATACGCGAGAATTTCTAGTGAAATGATTTTTTCCATTCTTAATTCTTTCTCAATCCGAAACAAATATGCCGTTTAAGTGAAGTAGGACTATCTCTAAAACATATTAAAATTTGAATTGATTTGATTCAGCGGAAAAAAAGTTACAGTCGAAAAACAATTTCGGCGAAGACTTTTGACCGCTACTGTATGCTATAAAATAAATTTCACAAACCAAGCTGATGGAACTTAAAGGAATCTTCCACGGACCATGGACCAGTGGGCGGGACCGGAAGTGGTTTTGCGACGAAATGCATGGTAGGTACGGA